CCTCCGTGCTTCCCCCTTCTCCTCCCTTTCCTTATTTCCTGTATTCTCCATGCTTCCCCCTTCTCCTCCCTTTCCTTCTGTCCTGTACCCGCCGTGCTTCCCCATTCTCCTCCCTTTCCTTCTTTCCTGTACCCTACGTGCTTCCACCTTCTCCTCCCTTTCCTTTTTTCCTGTATCCTCCGTGCTTCCCCCTTCTCCTCCCTTTCCTTCTTTCCTGTATCCTCCGTGCTTCCCCCTTCTCGCCTCGGTTTTTACTGGCCCTCCTTTCCTTTCTTTCTTCCTTTTGTTTCCTCTCCAATCCTTAACTCATCTCTCCTTTCTTTTTCTTTCCTCTCCTATCCCTTTTTGTCTTTTATTTAATTTACTCTCAAATCCTTACTTCTTTTCCTACACTTTCTTTCCTCACTTCTCTTTTGTTACTTTCCCCTCTCCTTTCCTCTACTCTACTCTCCTCCTCCTCCTCCTCTCCTCTATTCTCCTCCTCCTTCTCCTCCTCCTCTCCTTTCCTCTACTCCACTCTCCTCCTCCTCTCCTCTATTCTCCTCCTCCTCTCCTCTATTCTCCTCCTCCTTCTCCTCCTCCTCCTCTATTCTCCTCCTCCTCTCCTCTATTCTCCTCCTCCTCCTCCTCTCCTCTATTCTCCTCCTCTTCCTCTCCTCTATTCTCCTCCTCCTCTCCTCTATTCTCCTCCTCCTCCTCCTCTCCTATATTCTCCTCCTCCTTCTCCTCCTCCTCCTCTCCTCTATTCTCCTCCTCCTCTCCTCTATTCTCCTCCTCTCCTCTATTCTCCTCCTCCTCCTCTCCTCTATTCTCCTCCTCCTCTCCTCTATTTTCCTCCTCCTCCTCTCCTCCTCCTCTCCTCTATTCTCCCCCTCCTCTCCTCTATTCTCCTTCTCCTTCTCCTCCTCTATTCTCCTCCTCCTTCTCCTCCTCCTCCTCTCCTCTATTCTCCTCCTCTCCTCTATTCTCCTTCTCCTCTATTCTCCTCCTCCTCCTCCTCCTCTCCTCTATTCTCCTCCTCCTCCTCTCCTCTATTCTCCTCCTCCTCCTCCTCCTCTCCTCTATTCTCCTCCTCTCCTCCTCCTCTCCTCTATTCTCCTCCTCTCCTCCTCCTCCTCCTCTCCTCCTCTCCTCTATTCTCATCCTCCTCCTCTCCTCTATTATCCTCCTCTCCTCCTCCTCCTCTCCTCTATTCTCCTCCTCTCCTCCTCCCCCTCCTCCTCTCCTCTATTCTCCTCCTCCTCCTCCTCTCCTCTATTCTCCTCCTCTCCTCCTCCTCTCCTCCTGTCCTCTATTCTCCTCCTCTTCCTCTCCTCTATTCTCCTCCTCCTCTCCTCTATTCTCCTCCTCCTCCTCCTCTCCTCTATTCTTCTCCTCCTTCTCCTCATCCTCCTCTCCTTCTCCTCCTCTCCTCTATTCTCCTCCTCCTCTCCTCCTCTCCTCTCCTCCTCTCCTCTATTCTCCTCCTCCTCCTCCTCTCCTCTATTCTCCTCCTCTCCTCCTCCTCTCCTCCTCTCCTCTATTCTCATCCTCCTCCTCTCCTCTATTCTCCTCCTCCTCTCCTCTATTCTCCTCCTCCTCCTCTCCTCTATCCTTCTCCTCATCCTCCTCTCCTTCTCCTCCTCTCCTCTATTCTCCTCCTCCTCTCCTCCTCTCCTCTCCTCCTCTCCTCTATTCTCCTTCTCCTCCTCCTCTCCTCTCCTCCTCTCCTCTATTCTCCTCCTCCTCTCCTCTATTCTCCTCCTCCTCTCCTCCTCTCCTCTCCTCCTCTCCTCTATTCTCCTTCTCCTCCTCCTCCTCTCCTTCTCCTCCTCTCTATTCTCCTCCTCTCCTCCTCCCCTCTATTCTCCTCCTCCTCCTCTCCTCTATTCTCCTCCTCCTTATCCTCCTCCTCTCCTCCTCCTCCTCTCCTCCATTCTCCTCCTCTAATCTATTTTCCTCCTCTCCTCCTCCTCCTCTCCTCTATTCTCCTCCTCTCCTATATTCTCCTCCTCCTCTCCTCCTCCTCTTCTCCTCTATTCTCCTCCTCCTCCTCTCCTATATTCTCCTCTCCTCCTCCTCCTCCTCCTCTCCTCTCCTCTCCTCTATTCTCCTCCTCCTCCTCCTCCTCCTGTAGAGGAGCATAGTGTCATGTGTATGATGGTCCCTAAACCAGTAGACAGCTTTAACCTGCTCAGAGTGAAGGGGAAGGGTCTGAAGCAGAAGGTTCTCCATGCTAGCTGTGAATGGTATGATTCATGGATGTTTAGATAGAAAACCCTGTAGGTATTCCCTCATGTAGGATGTACGTTTGTAAGTATCACCTTTAGACCCAATAGTCACATTTCCTTCTTTTTATAGTTACATGTGACGGTGTAGTTTGCCAACAGCTCAAGTAGAAATTGCTATTTATTGTTGTCTCTTATTAATGATTTACAATCAATGAAAATATAGAGGGTTACAAAACTGGAAATGTAAAAAAAAATAAAATAAATCTACACAGCAAGAAGTACAGAAAACTGGTCTGTACAGTGAAATATATTGTTTTAGTATTGGCAGAGCTGTATATTAAATCCTATCTAGTATATTATAATTTGAATATAGATTTTTTTTCTTTTCTATGCACTTTTACACATTGTTATTGCTTACATGGCATGTCAAATGGAATACAGTTGAAGATACAATTACAAACCACAAAGCAGAAGAAGAGGGGGGAAATATACAGATATTAAACATACATTTATTTCAGATAATTACAAAAAACAGTAATATTTGACAGGAAGCCAGTTTAAAGACCTCAGTGATGTGATCCACTTCCTTGGTGTTACCGAGCAGCAACGTCCTGAATCAGCTGCAGCTGCCTTTATTATGTTTAAACAAATACACCTGCTGTTTGTCTAGGCTTTCTGCCCTGTGTGTGTCCATCACTCTGTCCTGTGTGTGTCCATCACTCTGTCCTGTCTGTGTGCCTAAGTAGATCATGATTGGACGTGATGTCATTTTCTTATTGCTGTATTATATAGTCTCCTATCTTACTCTCTGATTTGCCTCCTCCCTCTCCTCCTTTATCCCTCCCTCCTCCCCTTCCTCAGGCTCCTGCCTCGAGATTCTTCGGGGAGAAAGTCCGGCTCTTGGGGAGGCCGGGAGCGACTCGGCGTCCCCCATGTCGCCTCGGACTAGCAAGAGCCGCATGTCCATGAAGCTGCGACGCTCCTCCGGATCGGCCAATAAGACTTAAAGCCCTCACTGTAACTTTATTTTGAAAATGGCTGTGTATATCCTTGCAGTTGCTCCAGCATGCTGACCTTTGCCACAGTAGAAACAAGTGCAGTATTAGTTTATAATAATCTGTGCAATTTTAGAAAAGGGTTCAAGCATGTTCACAGAGGAATAAAAGCATAGGTTGCTATCTGTATATTTGTACTATAGTTAGTCCATGTGTGCGCAGACAGAACCACGAGTTTTGATATATAAAAAAAAAAAAAAGATCAGAACGTGTGCATCTGTAGTGTTGCATGGAGGAAGCAAGATAAAAGTATATTTTTGTTCTCAGCACAGCTTTAGGCTTGAGTCGGTTTCTATTGGTATGAATTGTATATAGAAACTCATTCATTTGCTTACAATGAAAGAAAGATGTTTTGTTGTGGATGCTTTAAAGCCAAAAGGTGAAGAGAATCAGTGTTACATAGTTGAATTATTCGTCAAAATAGAACACAAGAGGCAGCACTTCCATTTAGTTTTGTTTTGCTTATGCTGTAAAATGTGGACAAGCACTGATGATTTTTTTCTTGAAATGTGTTTGGACCCGAACAAGAACAATGCTGTATTTTATTTGTCACTTTGTCATCTGATGCAATGGAACCACAGCTATTATTTTTGTTCCTATATTCTGTATATCTATATATGTATGAGTATAGATATATATAGTAGCTATATGAACATCTAATGGGATGTGTACAGTGGGTGTATATACTGAGAGTAGCTGCCAAAGACCTCCGACCGGGTATCTGCTTAAAATGGATAGACACTACAAGATTTCATTTATTTTTTACATTTGCAAGGCAATTTAATTTCAGTCCAAGGACTCTTCTTTACTTCAATGTTGCCACATTGGGGAAGTTTTAGGCCATAATTGTCCTCGTTTTTCATTGAGTATATAATGTACGGAAGAGGATTAGTGCCACATGTGAAAACATTTTTTGAGATCGGACCTAAAGAGATTTATTTTCTTTTGTTCTGACTTTAAAATAAAAATATTGAGATTCAATTCAGAATTCTGAGATCAAATTCAGAAACAAAATCTGCATTCTGAGAAAATGTATTGAATTCTATGAAAAAAAGTTCTGAGATTAAAATCAGAATTCTTAGAGTACATTTAGAATTTCTGGGAAAATGTCAGAATTCTGAGATTAATTTAAGACTTCTTAAAAAATCTGAAAACCTTTCCCTCATGTGGCTCTAATCCTCTTCTGTGCTTTGTGGCAGGTTTTGTTATTGAAAAGATAACCTCAACACCTTAGTGGTTTAAAGGTGGAAACAGTGTGTATAAAGGAGAGATAGTGTACAGCCAAAGGGGGGGAAGCAAAGATACTTATTTAGATATGAATCCTTACGTTATTTTTCTTTTTATAACTCCACTCTTATATTGAGACTCATCCCCCTGCTCCATTCTTGACGAAGGGGACCCAAATGTAATCACAATCTATAACAAGTAACACTATCACTTATGTTTTTAACATCCTTATTTCAGCACTCCGTCAGTTAGCTCTACTAAAAAGGGAATTGTCTAACATTGTTTAAGGTTTTTCTTTAGCTGCTGTTCCTCCATTTATTTTACATGATGGCTTCTTCTGTATTTAAACTCAAGTTTATTTGATGTTACTGTTTTTATTTCAGCCCTAGATTCTCCGTAGAAATGAAAGGGATTGTTACACTTTTTGCACCTCTGTGTGTGGTGAATATAACTTTATTCGTGAATATTTGAATTCTGCTGAACTCTGAGTTGGCCCTTTAAATTATTGCTGTTACAATAATTATTATTATTGCTGAGGTTGGAGCACCATTGATTGGTGGTCACTCTGATCTGTTCATGCTGTACCTCTCACTCCATCCTGATTGGAAACGCCGAGTCTCACACTCCCTTTGGATTAAACATACCTGTGCTTGATTATGAGCTATGGTGCTGCTTTCAAAAGCCCATGGAGAAGATGGGACATTTCCGATTTAGTTTTACAGATTGTAAATAATACGGAGGATTATAGTGTTTCATAATGACCTCGAAATGATTTGCTAAAACGTAACTAAACGTAATTAGCAGCAACCAAAATGTATTCAAACAAATGATTAACCTTTCATCATTACAAACTATTCATAGAAACTTTCCTGCTGTTTATCTGGAGCATTTTGACTCTGAAAGTCTACAGATAAAGGATTAAGGCCACATGTGGAAATGTATTTCTGAGAAGAATTGAAGATTAAAAAACAAAACACATTTGTACTTTTTGGAATTGTGAATAATCTCAATATTAAAAAATGTTTCAATGCGACCCTAAACCAAACTTTGCTTGTCTATAAATAAGGGGTAAAACATTCAGATTACATTATTTTCCTTTATATATAACATTCGGAAAGCTCTGTGGCCTGTTGTCCAGAGTGCATGTAACTACTGACTGTACATACTGCATGACACCAGCTCAGCACTTTCTGCATGTGTTGATCATGTAACAGCTGTATTACGCTCAAACACACACACACACACACTCCATGTCACACCTGTACTATGTAAACCTGTAACGTCTCTTTTGGACACAGACAGAGAACGTGGATGTGCGATGATGGGATTTGACAATAAATGATTCGTACCACTTGCCTGCCAGACCCATTCATTTATTGTGAGTGTATACAGCTTCAAAAGTATATGAACCAGTCCATTGATCATACTGTCTCACCATTTATTGACAATCATTTCAATTAAAATTCACATGAAACATATCAAAATAGTAAAAGCTTCACAGAATCACAAATACATTTAAGCATCATGAAGGAAATATTTCAACAGTTATATATAATTAATAAAGATGAAATACTTTTTTTTAAACTAATAGCATTAAATGTTCCTTTTTTGTATGAAAAATATTTTTTAGCTGAGAAACGTACTGGCACATTTACTATAAAAGGCATATTACAGTCAATCTTCTTTTGTATTGTTCACTGTACATGAAAGTCTTTGTAACAGAGTTAGGACATTGATTCTGTCTCCAGTTATAACGCAGCTTCAATATAATCTGATTACTTTGCCACAGGAATGTGTTGAGATGTCTGCCACGTGTAGCCTGTCTATCTGCTTCAGTATCTTCCATGTAAAATGACCCTGTCTTGCTCTAATTAGTTATAATCAAAATGACCTTTTCTGTCAAACTTCCCTCTGTCCCCACTCTCCAGTCTAACAGCTGCTTCTGTGATTACATGTCAAATCATTTACTGAGTGCTGGGCATGTAGGAGAAGCTGGAGAGATGGCTTCCTCTGTGCCAATACGGATAAGACACAATATTGTCTGAGAATTATTATAGAGACAATTACTGATATTTAATGTAATGTGTCAGACTTCAGTGTATAGCTCACTGTAAATTGCATCAGTAATAATAATCTTGCTGTTGGTTTATTTCATTATTTTAGATCTGCCACCTGAATGATAATGTCCCATTGTTAAAGTTGTATTTATTATTTTCATATTACAATACTGCTTGTAGTATAGACTGATCATCCTGTTGAAGATTACATTAGGTGTTTTTTAGTACATAGCATCAGTGGTTGTGGAACGTATTTTATTTCCGTTTGAATGGGTTCATTATTCTAGTACCACTATATTCTAAATGGGCCTTTCTGAAACAAAGTCAAGATGATTACTGACCTTTAAACAGAAACAGTGACTCCACTTCCTGTCGCAGATTGATACACATTTAGCTTTTTCACCACAACAAAAATAAACTTTGCTTTACAATAAGCTTAAATTGATCATTTCTTTAATGTGAATGGATATAACTAAAATTCAAATTCCATAGAGTCTCCCTTATGACTATCAATGAAGGAATGTTTTCACCAAATCATCAGTTTTCTTGTTTAAGAGTCTTTACATCGTATTATGGTCGCACGGTCATCTGCAGCAGCATCACCTGCCGGTTCTCGGTCGGGTGAGACTTATTGATGTGTCTCGCGAGACCCGGGGAGCTGAAGAAAGTTGACGGACATTGCTTGCACGTGAAGATCTGCTGCTGCTCGCTCTCTCCGGTGCCGCTCTCGTCTCCTTGCGCGTGGAATACTTCATGTCTGAGTCCTCCTCCCAAAGTTCCCGCCAGTAACTCATCCCTCATCGCGTGCCACATACGGTGCTTGTCCCTGATTTCACCCGACGGGAAGCGCGCGCCGCACAGGTGACACAGAAACACCTGGCCGCTGGTCTCGCGCGCCTGGTTATAAGGTGGTGGAGGCGGTGACGCTCGTGCTGTCATCTCGTGCGCGGCAAGGTGTTTCTTCAGGTAAGCTTGTCGGCGGAATTTCTTTCCGCAATACCTGCAGTCGTAAACCTCCTCTTCCGTTAGGGACTGCACGAACGGTAAAGCGGGAAGCGGGAAGGACGGCCGCTGCTGCTGCGACAGGTCCACGCTCTCTTCCGAATTACCGTTCAATAGAAACAGGCTCGAGGGTGGGCTGTCAGCAGCTCTCACCTCCAAACAATTTTCCACCGGGTTCCGGTAATGAAGAGAGTGCTCATAGTGAGGAGGAGCAAGACTGTCGGTGTCGGGGCTGTTTCGGGACCGGCCATGGAGCATCAACAGGGAGGGCTCGCGCCTCATGCGGGAGCTGTCCGATGCTCCGTGGTGCTGGTTGGTGTTAATGCGCAGCAGCTCGTTCTCTTTGCCCTCCATGTCAACCGGCTGCCGCTCGTGCTGAATGAGCCCTCGTGTCTCCTTTAACGGCTGACTCTTGTTTGTTTGAGTCTCTCCTCCCTGGTTGTTCACCGGGCGAGGTTTGTGCCACCGGCGGTGGGACGCCAGGTTTGCGGGGCAGCTGAAGACTTTGTCGCACTCCGGACACCGGTACTCCACGCGCACTATGCGGGAGCACTTGTGCTGCGCAAGGGAGAAGGGGTCGAGGTACTCCTCTTTACAGAGCTGGCAGATGAACTCTCCAAGTGGCTTGTTCCCGCTGAGAGCAGACTTCTCGCGCTGTCTCCTCAGCTCGGGGCTCTCCTTTTTTATCCGCAGACCCAAAACCGGCGAGGTCGTGACCTCATCCTCGAAGTTTAGTTTCCGGTTGACTTTTGGTTTCTTTGGCGTGTTTGACTGTTTGTTGTGTCTGTTGTTGTTCAAGCGTTGGTCCTGTTCGAGGAAGGCGCGTTTCCTCGCTGCTTGGTGCTGGTTCATCAGTGTTAGGGGCGGGAACAGGTGCCCCATACTCGGGTCATATGTGTCGTGTTGACCGTAGGACGGTGCGTGGCGGCTGCTGCTCGCCAGGAGTCTCTCGATAGAAGCGGAGGTCGGAGTGGAGCTCACCAGGAACGGCAGCTCCGGTAACTCCAACACCTGGGGTGATGTGAGGCATTTACCAGTTAAAAACGGCTGCTTCTCTCCTTCCTCGTGTTTTTCCAGCAGCCTCGTGCCGACCGGTTTAACGGGGCTACAAGACGTTATTGTCAATTCGCGTGGGGGTATAGGAGGAGGCGGGAAGAAGCAGGAGAAATCTCTTTCGGGAGTCAGAACGTCCACCTCGCTCACCTGCTCCTCGGTCTCGGGTAACTGCGCGCTGCGGTCGGCTTCTGCCTCCAGCGCCGACTCCACCTGCGGGCTCCACGCCTCTCCTACACCGGCGGAGTCCTCGCGGGATACCGGGAACCGTCCGTCTGACCGTTCAAACAGGACACCTTTCAACAGGTCGGTCTGCTTCACTGACTCCGGTTCGATCCCTTCGGAGTTATTGTTGTTCCTGTCACCGTAGTATGTTCCAGGTTGGTTATTGCTGGTATTTCGTGACCGGTATGACCCCGAACATCGCCGGGTTCTCTTCACCAAGAATCCTCGAGGCATGATGACGATGATGCTCCACCAAGCGCGAGAGAACAACAACTCTTGTCTCGAGCTCACTTTCAAGTACAGCTTTGAAGTGTCAGAGAGAGAGGGAGAGAGAGGGGGGCAGGTGTGACGAGAGAGAGACATCTGTATCCCTACCCTGGTGAGGAACACTACACTTAGATATATTTTGTACAAGAAAAGTCATACAAAATATAAAGGCTAATTAGAGTTAGCCTCTTCAATTTTGGAAACTAATAGGCCTACATATTGGGGACGAAGTGGAACGACCATTGACTAAAAGAAAAATATTTAGTCATTGCGATGAATTTCAGAAGGAGATTCGGTTCAGTTTTACTCCAAAAAAGTACTTTATTTTATTTTTTCCCCTATCTTTTATAAACACAACTAAGAAGACTTTAAATGCGTAATCTAAAATGATGAAGTCCAATTAGGCTTTCTTGGTGTAATTGTGAGCTATCAACCCACGTGCTTGAAGATAAACGTATAATGTTTTTCTTTATTTTTAATAATAATTTAATTGAATATCGTAAAATACACCGTAGACATTTTTTTCCCAAAATACAGGCGTATTAGTAGGTTAATTAGAGTAGGCCTATTACTTTTTCAAACGAATGTTAAAGTGAATATTTAATATAGGGTTAAAGTAAAGCATCGAGCAATGACTGAAAGCGTTATTTAACAACTGCGAGGAACTTCAGCGGAGATTCGGTTAAGTTTTACTCCAAAACTAACTTCATAAACGATGTCATTCTATTTGAATAAGAACAACTAAGAAAACACGTGCCTTCACTTTAAGTTCTTACATGATGACGTCTAATGAGGCTTTCTAGTATATGTTTCGAGCTATCAACCAACATACATGTACATGAAGTTACGCGTATCAATGTTATTTTTCTATTACTTAGGCTATATGATGTTTCAGACCATTTTTAAGCAGAACTCATTTTATATTTTATCTGACCATTCTAATCTCGTCATTGCGTCAGGATGTGGCTTACGTGGTTCTTGAAATAAAAATCCAGCTGCAAATATTTAGATTGTATTAATATTGTTGACATTTTTGAGGACTGCAGTTTTTACTCTAATAATTTATATAAGGAAAAGTTGGGTTCACATTTCATTCCAGTGTGTTTTATCAGCCATTTCTCCTGCTGAATTCCCACGGTGATGATGAGCCTCTGTCAGTGATATTTCCCCCTCTTATTTCCTCAAAACAATGCCCTTTTTACCTTTCACCGATATGTTTGTATTTAAGAGGAGGAGATCAGATGTGTGTGTTGGAGTCAGTGCAGTGAAACAGCATCCGGGATTCAGATACACATCATATATTTTTAAGAACACTTATGACCGATCCCTGCTGAAGTGTCGGATTATCTGCGTCTTTGTTGGCGGTGGGAATACTTCGGGCATAGCTTTCCCTCTGCGTGTGTGTGTTTGTGTGTGTGTGTGTGTGTGTGTGTGTGTGTGTGTGTGTGTGTGTGTGTGTGTGTGTGTGTGTGTGTGTGTGTGTGTGTGTGTGTGTGAGAGTGTGTGAGAGTGTGAGTGTGTGAGTGTGTGAGGTGTATCTGCTCTGGCTGATAAGAGATCGGAGAGAGATTCATAGATCCATCCATCCTCTCCCCCCGGGCTTGGCCGGCCCCTCTGCGGGGACAGGCGCTCTCTAGCTCGGCCAGTGGGCTCCGGCCAGCCGGCGTCGCTCCCTGGAAATCAATCAAGGGGGCTGAGCGTGAGAGCGGGCTTCAGGATCGGGCTGTTGGCTGGGCGAGGGGCCGCCTGGGGAATAGAAACGAGAGGGGCGGTGGAGGGTCCAACACTAAAAAAACTAATTAAGCACCAAGCCTCGTGGATCCTTAGTTTGGTTGGTTTTCACTGTAACCGACAGCTGCTGATGTCTAGACTATGAGCAACTGACCCAGGTTAAGCCTGTATTGAGCTGACTGAGTGGGACCGTATTGGCCAGGGTGGGATTTTCACGGCGGCTGGCCGTCATCATGCCCCACCAATAATTGTCGCCTACGTGGGCCACCATGGCCTTTGGGCCCCTCACACTGTTTAAATCTCGAAGTTGCTTTAAAAGCGTCAGAACAGTGGTTTCTGAACTGTATTATGCTGCGTTCACAACGGACGTGATGCGAATAATCGCATTGCTCTAATCCAGTGGTTCCCAACCTGGGGGGCGCGCCCCCCTTTGGGGGGAGCCAAAGATCGCAGGGGGGGAGCCAGGCCTCAGATGATTTGAGGCGAAATATCATATTTAGACTTTTTTTATTATTATATATATTTTTTTTTACATATAATTGTAACGCAATACATGATTGTCACTAAAAGCCTTGTCTCTAGATTACAATAAAATATAAAAAAGAATTGATTAATTAATTTGAATACAAATTCAAGTTAGTAGCTATATTATAGGCATAAAAAGACAGAAATGTATAATTTTTTCTTTAATATAAATGTTTCTTCTGCCCGCAAAGTGTCCAAACCAGGCTTTTCTGGATAAGCGCATTTTTAAAACATATTTGTCCATCCCGGTTTCAGATTATTTGTCACAGTTGATCTGATCAGATCGGTCTCCTCCATTTTGTAGATTATTTACGATTTTTGAATCCACATAAACCCATCAGCAAAATCCGGTTTACTTTGAGCATGTGTTTTAAACAGTTTAATCCCTTTGTGAATTGTTTCCACTTGCGCGTCCTTTAATTTCTTCATACAGCGGGAATCCATATTAATTAATCCTGAGTCCAATAACCATCAAAGTCACTCCAATAGTGCTCGATAGATGCTCGTGATGCTTGCAAAGCCATGCCATGCTCCCCACAATGCAGTTCGGCGAAGATTAAAAATCTTCTACGTCACCCCATTCAAGTGAATGGGCGAAGCGTTGAAAGCATTTTTCGATGCCTGGAGTGTAGACGGGCCGTTAAACCGTGCTACGCGCTACAGTGGTAATGAGAACCATAAGTGACTGGAGCCTTTAACCTGCCATTAAATAGACCCTTCAGAAAAACGCGGGCAAAAATCCTTGATTATGCGGGCTAAATCCCTTGATTATGCGGGCTAAAATCCTTGATTATGCGATTAAACATGCGGGGGTTTTATGTGATTTTATGCGGGGAAATTGCGGGAAGTTGCGAAATATGCGGAAAGTTGCGAAATATGCTAAATATGCGGGAAAAAATAATACAATTTTTTTAAATATTTGGCTTCTTATTTATTCTCTCTTACACACAACCTGCCACTAACGTTAAACCCCTTTACTATTCAATTAAACACATTCAATGTTTATTTATTGTAAAAGCAATTGGGCTATTTTATCTCACACACACACACACACACACACACACACACACANCTTGTCAGATACTGCGTGTCCAACCTGACAGGCCAGTTGTGCTGGATTGGTCTTACAATGGTGGTGGAGTCGTGGAATGCTCACCGAATACCAGGTTATATAAACCAATGTAGCGAAGATTCAAATAATGACAACAAGCAGTTATAAGTGAGATCAACCGTATGTTCTTTATTTCACAGGTAAAGGCATACCAAACGACTTGGCTGGCAGTGGTTGCCCCAAAATAATCCCCCAGGATCTGTTGCCTCATTCACTTGAAGCAGCAGACCTTTACAAACAACATCTGGGATCCCAACTGACCATACATTCTACTTTTGGAGTTGATCCATTCTCAACCGAACAGGACAAACTTACAGTTGAGAATCAGTTTGCAGATACATATTCTGATATATCAGACTTGTTCTTTAGAGCAGTGAATAACGACTTTGCTCCATACAAAGAGGCATTGCTCCATCTCATAACTACAACTCAGCGCAATGTGTGAAAACACATTTGCTCCATTAGAACTGAAAGGGTAAAATACTTGTTATTGACATCATTATTTGATCAATATTAACATTTGTCTCTACTTTACCCTTTCAGTTCTAATGGAGCAAATGTGTTTTCACACATTGCGCTGNTTCATCAGTATTATAATCAAAAAGAGAAATATGAACGTTAGTTTTTACTGAAATGATCAAATAAAGTCAACATTTCACAGTCTTTACTGAGCTGTGTGGGGTTTGTTCAACTTTTAAAAGATGTTTGAATGGTAATATACACAGTGATAGATGTTAAGGACTAACGTTTATAATAAATACATTTGTATTGATTTTAAGATCTTTTCATAGTTCATACAATCATAGGTATTGGGATCATTTGAATTAATGTGGACCGGAGGGAGAGGGTGACGAGCAAAAGTTTCACTTTGCTTTTTTATTTAAATTCCAACTTTGGTCATGAAGAATATGTTTCTCTGTTGTTCATAAAGCATAAAGAAACAGCATCAGAGCACGGTACAGAGTCTCTAGATTAGTTTACAGTAGTCCCTCCTTCTTATTATACATCCATGTTGTAGTCCGCTGTATAGAAAACTGTAGTTTCCATAGTTTCCCCACAGCAGCAGACGCACATTTATGACGTCCGCTGGCGCATCATAAACACGTTGGATAGTGAAAGTGCAGTCGGATTCTCAAATCACTCTTCTCCTAAGTCCTTTTGAGTTCTCCTATCCACTATCCCTTAACCCCGTGACGTTTCACACAGAGGTCAAGGGATTGACGATAGGAATAAACGATAGGAGCTGATTTTTGGACTATTCGACCGCAACCCAGGACAGACAATCAAAACAGGCGGGGAAACACACAAAGACAGGAAGTTAAAAACAGACATGACACATGCACAAAAGGTTTTTAAAAAAACAAAGCAAAGTAATCATATCACTCAGATTGACCCCTTTATTCCAGATCGGATTTTTTGAATGGCAGTGAAATAGAAAAGGAAGGGGATACATCAACACAAGCTACATGTGTTGCACTGACTGGAGACCACTCACACTACCTCAGTGTGACAGCAGACCTAATTGGTTAAAAATGGCAACTGCACTTGTTTGCGTTAGGTGTGGTGAAAACAGAGGAAATACTTTTTGTTTAACCATGCTCCAGTTTCTTGAAGTTACACAGGAGTGGGGGATAGTGGACACGGTTACCACTGTAGGAACAGATAGTGCTCGCAGTATGTTAGCGGTAGCAACATACTGAGCATATGTTCTGTGTAGCCACATTATACAGAGAGGGACCACAGGGGCTCTCTGTGACAGCGGTTTGTCAATATGACAACAATTCAGAAATCATGTTATAATAAAATAAAATACCCTCTCTTTTTTAACAGTTTGTCATGCATTTTTTTATGATGACACCACCCGGGTATTTGTTTTATCCCCCCCCAAAATACAAGTAAATGCTAGAATTTCTTGACACCCTGACAGATACAGTTACTGTTTCATTTACAGTTGAGTGAGTGCTGTAATACAATGTGTGTCTTTCTCAACAGAAATCTTTGGCCAGTTGTCTAATGGGATGAACATGACTCTTCTTGAATCAGAGGTTATTATTGGCAGAAAATAATTTCTGTTTCAATACAATTCAATATTAAGAGTTTGTTCTAGAGAATGTTGGATTCTGGTACTACACTTGTACTTTTCTGTGATGAAATGCAATGAAATAATACTTTCCCCTTCCTTAATTTTCAGTGGATGTACCTTTCGATGTACACTTAAACTGAAATGGCGGCAGGATGCACTTGGAATCACAGCAGCACATAAAGCTGAAGAAAAGTTGTGTATTTCTTTACAATCCTATGTTCATACAAATGTATGTTCACACAGAAAATAATCATTTCTGTTTGAAGGTTTGAGGTAACTTTAGGTATATTTCTTAGGGTTTAGGGCAAATATTAGATTAATAAACATTTTCTTTAGGAATTGGTTTTGCAAGCTTTTCCAAAAAGTGAGACAACCCAATGCAAGCTGACAAGAACATGCAGGACATATTTTGTATACGCAAACCCCGAAAGGAAGCATTGCTCTGGTTCTATTGACAAATAGCCAATGAGATGTTTTCAATTGGACTGATTCAGAAAATAATCTCTGTGGCAAACAAACGTTACACTTTTGGTTTTTATGATTTGTGTGTACATACAAATTGGCGTAAGTAAAAAGTTAATGTTAGGCTACAAACCAACAACACACAACATGACTTCATTTTACAACCACTTGCAGATTTTTAGTAATGTCAATTACCTGCTCGGAACCAGTGTTTTTGGAGACACAAAACAGCTTTGGAAAAACACAAGTGGGGTATTTACTGACATATTTGATGTTGCATAACAAAACATTAAAATCTTTAACCTGTGTGAACAAAGGAGAAATGTGCGCTGATGTTCCAAAACCTACAAGTGTCTGTCACAGCTGTCATCACCCGAACACTCCCCTGCAACTGCCAATTGGCCTCCGCCCAGTTCTGGATTAGCCATAAGGTGGGCGGTGTAGTCACTATAGCAACAGAAAACGTTGTCTTTATGGTTGTCACTCTAACTAAGCTTAGACTTCTTACGTTAGTTAAAAATACTGTTCAAACTGAAAATCAGATTTCAATCAATGTATTACAGATTTGATCATCAAAGCGCAGTTTTATTAAAAACAGAACTGGAAGATGACCACAACAATTGTATCAAATCAACAATTATGGGTGATGGGTGTTAAGAAAACTGTGATTTTAACATATCTTATATCTCAATATATTTGTGTTATACTATGACTGGATTTTGTGTGTGTTTTTAGCCATGGTAGCCTCTGGTCAGTCCTCTATTTTATATCCCAATAACTATTTGATGGATTGTCTATATTTATGTTAATATTCATGGTGCCACCAGTATGTAGCATAATACATTTGTTGATTACATTTCTTAGGCGGATGGATTTTCAATTAAATTTGGTTCAGACATGCATTCTCCCTGAATACTTTAAAAAAAAAAAATGCTATTCACATTGGTGATCCCTTACCTTTACAACTAGCCCCACCATCTGGACATACTTATAATTGTCCAAACCAAATTTTTGATATATATATATTTCTAACTGGCAAATCTAAATCTTGGCATGCTAATATGCAAATCAGTAATAGCATATTAACATTGGGACAATGGCATGCTGACATTAGCAATTAGCTCAAAGCACCACTGTGCACAGCCTCAGACTGGTGCTAGCATGGCTAATTGTTAAGTCTAATAGCTGATCTTCATGATGGGATACTTCTACATTTTATGTTTTTGGTGGGAATAGACTTTGTACTTTACAAAATAAAGACATTTTCCAAACAGTATAAATATTTCTTTCTTTCTTTGCAGATTTCTTTAAATAGAAATCCCTTATTAGGAAAGAGGCTCCTTGAATGTGGCACACAGATAAATCGTGGCTATCGCAGGACTATCACAAGCAATCAATTTGACTACAAATGCATCAATTACTCATTTAATTGAGAAGAACAACAATGGGTGTTTGGTGTTGAAATTGACCTGCGTAGCAACAGCTGAAACTGCAGCAAGCAACGTAACCTATAATGCTGCCATATTATACCGTTTTTGTGGGATTTTCTTTTCTTCACCAAACAAACAGTGCATTATGTAAACTAACGGCTATTTAAAGAGTTAACATTTTGATAATAAATGAATATCTGATAGTTGTTATCAAGACTAATAAAGTTTAAAAATGACATCACTATATATTTTTATAGCAGTTTTTTTAACGTGGCATGATTTTACTTCTCTAAATGCACAGAGCAGCAACAAACTATAATGTGGGTCTTGGAAGTCTTTACCACTAGATGGCGACAGATGACCTCTTTTTTAAAACATGACAATTATCCACTGCCACCCAACACAGCCTTCACACTGAGACATGATCTCTTACTCTCAATATGATAGGACCAATGAATTGATGAGTATTCATTAATGATATCAGTTAATATGCTCATGACTTAAGAGCAATGACAAGCCAATGAAAATGTGGTTTAATAACCATGAATTCCTTAAACTAAACTGTTAGACTTCCAATAATGACCAGGTGAAATAATAAAGTGTATTTTCCAAACTCTCAATGTACAAACACAGTCCCTCAGCCCTGATATGTACTCCCTTTAAACCCAGGCAAGCAGCAGCTGTATAATACTGCAGTACTTAAAGATTTGTGACTGAGAAGCACTGATCAATAGAGTCATTTTCAGCAGTCTGAGAGATTATCCACCTCACTGCCCACTCATGACACACACATGCGCGCATGCACAAAGACACACAGAGACACACAGAGACACACACACACACACACGTCCTCCAGCCAACAGCCTCCTCAGACTGTCTGTGGATCCATATTTGTTTTACAGGACATTGACTGAGAATATGTTCCCTGTTTGATAATGTCTGAAAGCTCCTTCCTGTCCTTCCTTACACCAGACTGCCATTAGCTTTTCTCCCTAAAATATGGGTTTTTATTCAACCTTTTCCATTTGATTTACATTTTGAAGGAAAATTTTATCCTTTGAGGTGCATAAACTACAAGTGAATAAATACATGTGGAAGTACACGTCGACCAAGTGTCAGTCAGTTATGCGTTAAAAATGAATGTCAAATAATTCACCATTGTGACTTTTAGGTCAAAATGATGATATATAATTAGAGAGCGATTTAAAATTATGATATAAAAGAGAAAAGTCACCATGTTAAAGTCCTTTTTTTGACACATCATCAAATAAATTGTTGTCAGAACTCTTTTTTTTATTTTTACTTTTGGTCACATCCCCAAAAATGTTTCTAACATGGCCCTAATCATCTTCCGTAGTAGTCAATCGTAAACATCTGATCTATTTTTATCCGAGGCCAATGAGCTTCCATGCTTTAATGGCAGGTTAAAGGCTCCAGTCACTTATGGTGCATTTCCACTGCAGCGCGTAGCACGGTTTAACGGCCCGTCTACACTACAGGCATCGAAAAATGCTTTCAACGCTTCGCCCATTCACCTGAATGGGGTGACGTAGAAGATTTGTAATCTTCGCCGAACTGCATTGTGGGGAGCATGGCATGGCTTTGCAAGCATCACGAGCATCTATCGGCATCAGAAGTTGAACAATGTTCAACTTTTGAGGCTCGATGCTTGGCATCAGCCAATCAAATCCCGTTTATGCAATTCCCGCCAGTACAAGCGCTAGCCAATCAAACCGTGTGTATGCTGATACCGCAGGTCTTGACTATTTTCCATATGTCATAAAATGGAGGATAAATTAATCATTGCCGTGGCAAGTGTCCCAGTCCTGTATGACTGTACTCTGTTCACCTACCGGGACCTAAACCGGAGGAACCAGGCATGGCGGGAGGTGGCAGAGACAGTTGGTGAAACTGGTAGGTTTTCAACTGTTTGGGGAGTTTATATCCAGTTTACTTCGTTGAAGAAGCGGGCTTTTTTTTGCTTTGTATTCCGGGGGCGGGCGGGAGATTCCTGATTGGTTGTTGGTCGCCTTGGGGGCAAGAAATCGCCAAGCCTCAGACACGCCCAGCTTCAAGATTTTTTTATGCCTGAAGTGTAGACGGGCCGTAAGCGTGCCATGCCAAACCCGGCCCATTTTTTGTTGCGTTTCCACTAGGGGTAGTTCCGGCTAACGGGTACTGTTTTACAGTTTTTCTGGCTCTCCAAAATCAAGGTTCTTTCCGGGCCAACAACCGGGCTGAGTATGCTAAACTCGTGAGAGAATCGCTGGCAACTACAACAAAATGAACATATTTTACCGTGATTTAATTGTAATACATGTTTCAAAATTATGCCGAAGTAACAACATACTCATACCATGAATTAATGCTTTGACAAGTCTGCAGACAAAACACGTTGTGGAAGTACACGTCGACCAAGTGTCAGTCAGTTATGCGTTAAAAATGAATGTCAAATAATTCACCATTGTGACTTTTAGGTCAAAATGATGATATATAATTAGAGAGCGATTTAAAATTATGATNACACAGCTCAGTAAAGACTGTGAAATGTTGACTTTATTTGATCATTTCAGTAAAAACTAACGTTCATATTTCTCCTTTTGATTATAATTCTGATGAACGTTCAAAACAAAGCACTTTGGCAAGTTCCCACATACTTTTTAAAATGCTTAATAAGCACCTTAACTTTCATGATATCATTTCTCGGTCCTAATTGGTTGTTTAATTATAATGCTGATGAACGTTCAAAACAAAGCACTTTGGCAAGTTCCCACATACTTTTTAAAATGCTTAATAAGCACCTTAACTTTCATGATATCATTTCTCGGTCATAATCGGTTGTTTCCGTGAACGGGCGACTGTTGTGTGACGGT